CAGCCGCGCGGGTGCCGGGGAGCGGGACACCCCCCTCACCGCCAGACACCGCCGTGCGCCTTTGCCGCGGTTCCCCCCCGTGCCTCCCAACCTCGCTGCTGTCTCGCCGTCCGAATCTGAGCGCCCTGATGCCCCGTGTCCCCGGGAGCGATGATTTCTGGCCCCAAGGAGGCGGCCCGGGCAGCCCGCGGCCGTGGCAAGGAGCTGCTGGCTCCGGGGGATGGGTGGGGGGCAGAGCCCAGCCCTGCCCACCGCTCTGCTTCCCCGTGCCACCTTTCCTGCAGCGAGGCCAAGTCCAGTACCTGTGCTCAATAACGGCAGGATGCACCTTAATCCCCATTCCTTAGTCCTAATCAAGTCCATTTTTTTGTTGTAATATTACCATGGACTTGGGTTTTCAGGTGAAACAAGTTACCAGGGCAACTCCATCGCTCCCTGAAGGTATGCCCAAGAAGCATGTGCACTTCAGTATGTCCATTTCCTTACAGTGCTGCTTTTCAGCTGGCTTTTGGAAGTAATTTAATGCACCCCTAGCCCCCAAAACGTGCAAAGTAAGAAGTATAAACCCGCTCGAGCGAGGAAGAATGCAGAGACTGGTCTGCTCTCTTTTTTTTTCCATGGCAATATCTTGACAGACTCTCCAGAAGGCACAGAAAAAACCCTGCAGAGGGAAGATGTGTTGCTATCCATGTTGTGCAATTTCACACCCTTTCTCCAACAGATGGCAGAGATCCTCACCTGTTTAGGAAGAGATGTTTGAAATAGTTTTGCATCTTAAAATTAGATCTTAGGGAGCTATTAGGGATTAGTGATTCCAGCACAACACAGGTTGTGTTTATTCCCAAGATTCATCCCCTGTTTCTCCTCATTATTGGTGTTAGATGTTAACCTCTGTTCTTTTTAAGGCTGTATGGAACTATTGTGGGTCACCCTGCCAAGATGATTTGTAATTTTTATGAGTATGTGGAACTATTGTGGGTCACCCTGCCAAAATTGACAAGATGATTTGTAATTTTTATGAGTATTAGGCATAGTGCAGGTGCTTTGGATATGTTGATATTGCTGTCCACTACCAGAGGTGAATACACATATATAACAACAGAAATAAAACCCTATGTTTGCCTTTAGAGATAACCCAGAATTGAATCTAGGATTCAAACATCATTGAGGTCCAGCAGGAGAAGCAAATGCTACAGCAAACTCCTCTTTCTGGAAAGTTCTGTGCCAAAAACTGAATCCTGGGGTTGAGAGGATTTTCTCACTTCTCTTTTCTTTGAAGAGCACAGCTGTAAAAAGAAGAGGGGTTGTGAATTCTCCTGTGCAACCTCCTTCGTTCTGTGCTCAAAACTGAATCCTGGGGTTGAGAGGAGCCTGGCCATTTTCTCACTTCTCTTTTCTTTGAAGAGCACAGCTGTAAAAAGAAGAGGGGTTGTGAATTCTCCTGTGCAACCTCCTTCTGTGATTTTCATTCCATGAATTCCTCCAAGTTTCTCTTCAAGAGTATACTTCTGTGCCATATACAGCCAGTGAACAGCTATATTGTTGCTGCCAAAGCCCAGAAACTTGCAGCTCTTCGTTGCCAGATCTGTGAGTGGTTTGAAGCCAAACTGGGTTGGGAATCAACACTGAGGAGGAGTTAAAGGCTCAGTAAAGACTAGGTGTGGCTGATCTTCAGTGAAAGAAGTGAGGGCTAAAGCTGGAATTAACACACACTTTTGCAGACCTGTGTGGACTGCCTCCTTCTCTACTGCACAAATACTAAAGGAGAAGAAAAAAAACATATATTTGGAGCCTCTTCATCTCCCTCAGTTGTAGACATGGAGAATAATAATGCTACAGAAGTCATGGTGTCATAACTGAGAGAAGAACCAGCTCACAGACCTTTATGATATCTCTTTTAGAAGAAACTTTCTCTTACCCTTAGAGATTGTTTTACTGTGATCATGGAAGAGCTCTGACTGTGCAAGCCAGGCTCCAATAAACAACTCCATTCCTTCCTCATTTCATTCCTGGTTGGTAGTGTTAGGAAGAAACACATGTTGACTTTCTGCAAGTTTGCCCTTCTCCAAAACTGCCACCTAACTCCCTCCAAGCCCTTCTGTCAGCAGGGGAGTACCACACGTTCACTGGCACGTGTTCCTTCCAGAAGAGGAATGAAACTCATCTTATTTTTCACATTTAATGCAGAATTTTTGTTGGTGTTGTTGCCATGGGGTTCGTCCGCCAAGCATAATCTCTTGGCAGGAGGAGACAGACAAACAAGATAAGGAGAAGCAAGATACTTTGGTTGTGTTTAAACTCCTTGATTCAAGCAACACCACCTGGTCCTAGCACCAGTGAAAACAGGAGAAGTGCAGAAGCATGACACATCAAGGCTTTCTGCCCAGGAAAACCAAAAATAAGTTATGTGGAATGACCTCCAGCACTAATCGCCCTTTTAGCAGCAATTTTCAGATCCAAAAGTTGGTGGGAACAACTGGAAGAAGAAGAAAATCTTCTAAGAAACTCTTAAGATTTCACAGCGTGAGAGAATCAGAGCTGAAATGAGACTTGTTGGCTCACAGCTGCAATTGCTGTGCCATAGGTGAGGCAGAACATGGCTTCAGGAGCTGAGTCCTTCTTGGGGACAGTACTGAGTCCTTTCACCAGAGCTCCAGCCTTCACGTTCAGCTGTGGTGGTGAGCTGGTGATCTGGAGGTCCTACAGACTCCAAGGATGTCATACATGACTTACCCAGGAGTCCTTCCCATGTCCCTCCTGCCCAGGTTTTTCTAGGGCTTGTCTCTAGTCTTTAGGCACAACTGAACAGAGAATGATTTAGTGAAAGAGGGATGATGAAGGATCATGAAAAGATCAAAGTCTCTCCACTGGACAACACGCCCAGTGGGAGAATCAAACAGTCAAACAGTCCAGTCAAGAAAAGCCTCTGGTAAGTGAGACCTGGACACTATTCTTCACCCTGAAGAGCTACAGAAGGGTTATTTTGCTGCAAAAACTGATGGAAACCAGATTTTCCTGAGGTTTTCATAGGTCTTATGTGAAACAATCCACCTGAAAAAAATGTTTTTAACAATGTTTCATGTTTTCATCTGTTCAGGATACAAGGTGGGAGAGGAATTCCTGTGCATTTCATTGCCATGGCTCACGTGTTAAGCAGCAGTGGAGGTATTCAGAAACAAAAACTCTTGTTATTTATGTAGTAATTGAATTTTGTGCTAATTCTGCCTTTCTAGAGTCCCAGGTGAGAGTCACATGCGAACAGACAGGGGCAGGAGAGAGCCCCTGGAGTGAGACACCGGTGAAGTGACAAGGAATCTAAACAATGTGGGTATGTAGGTTAAAAAAAACAAACCGTGGTTTATTTAAATGTGTAAAGTACTTGGGAGGGAAAAAGATTACATTGTACTATGGCAATACAGACAGCACCTACTGGAACAAGCTCATCCATTGTCATGAATCCTCTTCCCAGCCTCCTGATCTGCTCAGCCACACAGATCCTGGGGAGAGGCTCGCCGGCGGGGACTCCACACTACAGATGAGTTGGGGTCAGAATTTGCTGTCCTGCTTCTTCTGTAGGTCAGACTCAGGAGCAGAGCAACGTCCTCCCACCAGGGGAGGCAGGTGAAATATGTCAGGACTTCTCATGCACTAAGAGCCTCTGCCATGGGGTGGGTGAAAGCAGCCTGATGGAACATCTGATCCCAGGACCAATTACCAGGCTATCTGCCTTAACCTTATCCCAGATGGGGCTCACCCCTGGGATGAAAAGCCTAAAGCAGCAGAGACTGAGAGAGATATGATGATAATTACAAAACGCCCTTTCCAGACACAGCTTTTTTTTTTTATTTTAGGTTCTTCTCAATCCAGTCTTTGAAGGGAAGAGCTTTGGTGTAGCCACTGTAGAGTTCTAGGCTGCAAGTTTTATCGTAACCCCAGCTCACTAATCCCATCAGGTGCCACCTTAGCTCAGGAGATGCTTTTCCTGGCAAAGTTATGGCTGCAATCCCACCAGTCTCAGCAGGGCAGATGTTAGAAAAGGCTGTGGGGTCTTGTTTGGCACAGAACATGTTGTCAGTGATGCTGACCTGTATCCCACTCTCCTCATACTGCTGCTCACACAAGAGTGAATCCACCATCCGAACGGCTCCCATGCGGATCGTGTCGTTCTTGTACCCAGGATCTTTCAGGTCAGCCAATATCTTCCAGCCAGTAACCATTATTTTTAAATCCTCCGTGGAGGAAGTCAAGTCTTGAGAAGATGACAAGCAAATGGGTTGGACACGACTGCTGATTCTGGCTTTGTCCAGGAGTTTGATGATAGCTATGTCAGAATCGAGTAATATGGGGTCGTAGTTGGGATGCACTATGATGGCAGAAATCTGGGGAGGAAGCAGAGGAGGAAGAATGGTGGAGTTCAGAGCAGTGACAAGCCAGCAGCACTCTCTCCATGCTACTACAATACATGATGGTTTATTTTGCATATTTCTCCTCTGCCCTCCACTCCCAAACTGTTCTTTCACCATCGTGCTCGCTCAAGTGAGAAACATGCAAAGAGATCAAAAGTTTCTGAGTTGTTTGGGGTTTTTTTTTCTGGCTTGGGTTTCAGGAAAGTTTTTATTGCATGAAACTCTTCCTCATGGAAAGCAGCCAAGGACATTTTCAGCAAAATGGGGAGTTAATGGGCAGGTCAAGTTTTTCCACTGTTTTCTGAAAAGATGTTACCTGTCCTGTCATCTTCAGTCTGTAGAATTTGGCTGGGGGACTAAAGAGGGGTAGGGGGAGCTTTGAATTAAAATGTTCTTATTGAAATTGAATCATCTGCCCACCAAAAAAAAAGAATATTAGCAATATATTGCATAATGCTGGGGCCAAACCCTTACTGTTACTCACCTTGATTAAACACTACAAGAACAGCTAAGAATCCAGTAAAGAAATATTGTAAAAAAAATTTCCTTAAAGGAAAAGTGGAATTAGATAAATTCTAATTTCTCTAATTAGAAAAAAAAAAGGGGGGAGGGGGGGGAAGAATTAAATCAACTCAAATCAACTATGATTTATTGGATAAAATCCATTAATTAATTCACATATCCCACTCCACCCCTGAAAAAGAGACACACACATATAAAATCCCTATATTTATCCTAATTTAGACTTCAACCTTACTTGAACCAACCATTCTGCTGAGCCCGAGGTGCTGTCAGCATCTCTCTGGGCTCATCACTTTCCACTCCCAGCCGACCCACTCACCCTTAGGTTCTGGATGCTCTTTTCATCCCTGTCGTCATCCCTGTAGAATTTCCCCAAAACCACCTTGAGCTCGGCTGTCTTGAGCACGATGGTCTTGCCCAGGTGGGTGACGCAGTGAGCTGCCACCACCACGGTGCGCTCGTTCACCAGGGCCCCGCTGCAGATGAGGATCCAGGTCCCTTTCCGGAGACCGTTCTCCTTCACCCTGCTGGCTGTCCGGTAGATCGCTGCTTGCCAGGGCCACCTGCTGGAGGTCACCGGCTTCTGAAGGGTGATGTTCTCTGCTTTGCCACAGACTGAGGGGAAGGAGAACCGAGAATGAGGCAACACCTTTTCCCCAACGAAGAATTTGGATAGGATTCCTGCTTAGGATGTGCCCAAAAAGGAAAGCAAACTGCAGTGGTTATCTTGAGGGACAGCTTTCTACTTAGACTTTGTATCTAAGCTTCAAAATGATAATGTAAAAGTGTTTTATTTAGCTTTAAAAAAACTGTAATTTTCCCATTATTACCTGAATTCCTGGCTGAAGGAGGAACGTGGACTTTTTTTTTCCCCTAGGATGTAGTGTGTGCATGCCCATAGTGAAAAGAATTGAATATTGGATTTTCAATGCATGAAATGAAACAAGAACTCTAAAAAATTGCTTGATTTTCACAGCTTGCCTGATGTCAATAGTGAGCTGTGCCAGCTCTTGTGATGTTCCTGCCCTACTAGCTCTGGATCAGATTTTATCTGGATTTAACAGTTTGTGATAGGAACCTGTCCTTAGTAAGGAATATTAAAGGAAGCCTCTTTAAAATGCAGACTCTCCATTCTATTGCTTCAACTTTGATGCTTTTGTCAGCTGTGTGCCAAAGTGCAGAGAGGAAAGAAACATCACATTTGCAGTAAATAATATTTAGGAATAATGGAGTGGTTTTAGAACAGGAAAACATGAAGTGATAGTAGGAAAAAAAATTTCAAACCAGGAAACTCACTACTCCTTTTGCTCAATAAAAGAGCAGAAGAATTGGTGGCAAATGACAGTGCTGCAAGCTTGATCCCTTTGCCATCCACTGCACCAGTTCTGCTGGGGGATAAAACCAGCCCTGTATCCTCCAAGCTTTCCTGCTCCCATTTCCCAGCTGGAAGCACAGCCAGCCCACACCTCTGGGACTCCCTCATTATCTGAGATGAACACACATCCTGTTCCAACACGTGCCTTTATTTCCCCCCCCCCCCTTGGAAACTCACTGGGAATACAGACAGGGGCTCTTCCACTCCACTTTCCTGTCTTCAGACAGGTCCTCCTGCTGCTGCCCAGGCGGCGGTAGAAGGGGGAGATGCACTCGTACTGGAGCTGAGTGTGCAGGTGCTGGTACCCCGGGGGCAGGTCCCCAAAGGGCAGTGCTGGCTTTTTGGTTGGGTAGATCTCAAGCTTTTGCTTGCTGAAGGTGGCTGAGTAAAGCTGGTGCAAAGGGGTTTCCCTGTTTCAAGGCATAAAGAACACAGAGTGGTGCCACTAGAAAAGCCATCGTCGCCAGAGCTGAGCACTGGCTGTGTTTGGGTATCATTTAAAAGCCCATGAAGTCTGCTTGTGAAAGAATAAGGCAAGAAAATGTCATTCCAACACACTTTAGCAATACTCCCCTTCACATCCCAACTATTTTCCTCCTGAATCTATGTACACAAACATAAATACACATTCATAATCTTTCTGTTTGTGTCTCTTCTTTTTCGTTTCCCAGTTTCTGTAAATTTAGTTTTACAGTTTGAGTTGCCTCTGAAATGTGGGACAGCTTTTGCCATTCACAAAAGGACAGAGATACTGGGGTTTGAAATAAAGAAATGACACAGGAAGTTGGCAGGGCCCTAATTAATTCTCACTAGAGAGGAGTTAGGCACATCTTTCCTCCAGTGTACATTTTAACAGGGGGGTATTTGGAAATCGATTCAGATTAAATCGTGTTGATAAAGTTGCTTGATTTAGCAATTAACAGAGATAATTGCCTCACCACGGAGATTTCGTAATTGCAATAATCACTAAGCTCCCATTTAGAAATTGTACTGATTAGCTGAAACGGGGGATATAATTAAAAAAATAAATACATGCACCAGCCTAGATAGGGACCATCAGCTTGGCTACACTCATACTTAAATCCTCCTCACTCAGAACGTGTCCCTTGCTCTAATGCTTAACAGCACATATCTGCAGAGGGGGGGGAAGTCTGAAAAATGCAGCAGAATTTAATTTCCATTGAGATTTCTGGTACTGCCTGCATCCAGAAAAGCCATAAGAAAGGTTTTGTTTCACATGGTAATTCCACTGGAATTACCTGGAGAATGGGAGAGTATTTGGGAAGTATGTGCTTGCCTTGTTCCTAAAGTCTTCTCTAGGAATCTGCTACTGGCCATTGCCAGAGACAGGAGATGGCTTGAGCTGGACCTTTACTCTGACCTGGTATTGCTGTTCTTAAGACCAAAGATGAAGACAGTTCTTGCATCTAAAAATAAATGAATCACATACTGGAAAAAAAAAAAACCCAAACCCTGAAATGAGAAATTACTACATGGAGAAAAAATGAACCTGAATATTGCATCATAACTAATTCAGATTGGGCTTATTTCAAGAAATCAGCAGAAGGGTAAAGCCCAGACAGGGTCTGATCTTTCATTCCTTCCTCCTCTCCTGCCCTACTTCCTCCTCTGCCCCACGTCCACCCCAAACCCACCTTTATATCAATTGTGCTATAGTGGATGATGAACCTTAATGGGAGCAGATTAGATGCTACACCCCCTTCTCTCCTTGTCCTCTCCCCACTCACTTCTTCACTCAGACTGAACACGTTCCTATTTTAAGACACATCATTAGCCCCAAGGAACTGTGCTCAGACTGTTCTCACAGCCTGTCACAAGCCTGAGAGCCTAATTCCAGCATCTCCCAGTAGTCTGCATATCTCTGGCTGTGCCTTTCTTCCTGGCTGCAGCCAGCAGCTCACAAACCTGGACTGAGATGTCCCCTCCCAGCAGCTCTCACTGCTTGGCTTCTGTGGAGGTGTAGGAATGGCTGCTCAGGCAGGCTAAACACAAGGTGGAAAGGAGAGGAGGGCAAGAGCAGTTATATTTTTGTCTTTAAACTGTAGTTGAGATATTCTCACCTTGACTGAACCTGCATTGGAAGCACTTTCTGTCTCACCAGGTCAGAGATCTTTGGCTCTCTGCAGGCTAGAAAAAATACAAGGTTGCACAAGTACTTTTCCACAGTCACAGCTCAAGAGTCATGGTTCATACACATTCCCACTCTCTCCTCTCACTACTTATAGTGGACTGGATTAAGAAAAGCAGCAAGTGATGTGCATTAAAAGAAAGAGAGGCCCTGAAACATAAAGCCTTGGAAAAAAAACTTCCCCACAGGTTGGCAGATCTATCTCCTGTACCACGGTGGGAGGAACTGAGTGTCTTCAACTGGCACTTCCAGCCATGGGGGAAGATTTGTCCATCAGCTTTTCTCCATGCCAGATTTGCACCACTGCAGCTGATGGTTTGGGATCCGAGCAAACTTTTGCAATAATGGCAAAAATACTTTTATATTAAAAATAATTTTCTATTAAAACCACTTGATTTCCATCTGTGTAGCCATACACAGCTAATCTCAGTGTTTTAGCATACAAAGACTGCAAGGTGTTTCAGGCTTCTAAGAGTCTGCTTGCTTGTGCACCCATTGGAAGGAGCTGGAGACTGATTCAAAGGAACACCTCAGAGTTACACAAAGATGCACAAAATAACAGAAAGGAGATCAAGGATTTCTAATTCTGTGTAGTCAGCTTATTTGCTTTAAGAGCAGGATGAAATAGTGAAGTTTATCAGTTGAAATAACTCTGCTAGGACCTTCTTCTTCCTGCTGCACACAGTGGAAGAGAAGAATCTTGCAGGCTGGATTTTATCTGTATGCCTGAGCCCTCGTGTTCTGTGGGATTTAACAAGAACTAGTTCTGTGTTTGTTGCTGTGTATGTTGACCTTTATGTCACCATCAAAGTTAACACCAATAAAGATGCTTTCCACAAATTATTCTCATCAATAAAGATGCTTTTCACAGATGCCTATACCCTTCAGGGAGACAGTATTTCCATCTAAAATAGCAGAATAAAGCAAATTCCCCAGGGGACAGGCATATTTCCTTGTATTATCATTACTTCAGTTTAAAAAGAAATCCATTTAAAAAATGTGTCAAACAATTGCTTTGGGAAAATGAATCTGACAGTTCCCCAGCCCAAATTCAGTCATCCGTTCAGGGTTTCAGACATGCTTAGAGTAGCTCCAGGTCAACAATGTAATTCCCTTTCTAGCAAAGTGTTTAAAGATGTGTCTCAGGGGTTTGATGAATACTGATAGCTTAAGCACGTCCTCAAGGGGTTTTCTGAACCAGACCTTCAAGGTGGCAATCTGCAGACTTGGTCTTTGACACTCATGGCTGGTCCCATGGACTTAAAAGGGCTGTGAGAGGAGAGCTGGGCCCTGTGACAGCAATTCTGATGAATCAACTATTTTCTTCTCTTTCAGTTCCCTCCTGATCTTTGATTTTGATCTTACAGAGGTCTGAACCTGCAATGAGGGCAATAAGGGTCTTAGGGAACATTTCTTTCCAAGTTTAAAGATGGAAACACCTTCTGGAGTGGCTGGAATCTCCTCTGGCTGAGTGTAGCAGCCCGTAGAGCTGGCAAACTACCAATCTCAGTCTCAGGTGTCAGTTAGATGGTTTATTCTTAATAAAAATGATTGTTTGGTGAGTGTAAAGTATAGAAAACAAACTCCAGTAAAACCACAGCAGTTTTTGTGAGTTATGGTTAAAAAAGAAAAAGATTATAAACTACCTTTTATGCAGATTGGCTGCTTCCCTGACCATTCTCCATTGTCTTGGCAGGTCCTCTGTTCATTCCCACTAAGAACATAGGAGTTGTTACAAAAGAAAGCAATGACTGTGCCAATTTTTGCATGGCGTCCATTCAAGAGCCCAGTGTCTTCTACCACTCTTCTGTAGCCATTGAGTGGCCCACCAGGATCTGAGCAGGTTTTTTCATCTAGAACTAATGATAGGGAGGAAAAAAAAATAGTAACCATTTGATCAGGTTCACAGGATTATTTTCACCCAACAGATTGCTTGGCAATTCATTCAGATGTTACTACACAATCTACACTTGATTAAAGGTGCCTTTTCAAGACCCATCTGGGATCTCTGCCTTCAAAAGGATAAAATATTAAAGAAGTCCTAATCTACAGATATCTGTAGATTATAAATTTAGACATTTTAGTCTTCGCTGAAAGCATAAGAGTCTCAAATTGTTTAAAAGACCTTAAAATGTAGCTCACAAGCCTGAAAAAGCACCTTGACTTCACATGATGTTCATGTTTCATTAACTACTTCAGGAGTATAAAAGGCTGCACTTAAACCATTTGCTGGAACCAGGCCCTTGGTGTTCTCTTCCCTTTTCTGTATTTTCAATACTTCACTAGACTTGGATAATAAAATTATACTACTTCATTTTACTTTTATGTTTGGCTGCTTTTTGCTTTCTTAGAGAGAGCTCAATAATCCAAGGAATTGAAAGAGAGCATATATACTTCTACTAAAAATTTAATATTGGGAAGCTTCCTCCTAGGTTCTGCCTATAAAACCTCTTTTACTTTCTCCTTCCCAATATTCTCTCCTTCTCTGTATTACTTGTTGTGGTTTTTTTTTCTCCCAATAAACACATTTTTGGCCTAAATCTGGATGGCAATATTCCCTGTGTGATGCTAACAAAGGCTTATCCCTGTATTTCTCACTCCCCTGCTCGTTCTGTTTAGCAGCTGAAAAGGTGTTTTTTTTTTCCTTTGGATTTCATCTCCCCTTTTTTGTCAGGCTGACAGTAACCTGCAATCCCATTTAATCCCTCTGTCTGATGCCTCACTGCATGATAACCACTGAACATCAGCAAAGAAGTAAGCACACAGCTAACCATAAAAATTCAATGAAGAACATTTGCCCTTAACGTTGAGTAAATAATTCAAACTAAGCATGAATTTCACTGCTTCCTGTGACAACATTGGATTTTAGCACACTCTGAAGCTTACACATGCACTTAAATATTACTCCTTGCTGCACAATGTCCCTCACTTGGTTTTGGTCCTCAACATTTTCAGTCTGTGTGCCTAAAGTCTTTGAGGAAATGCTTTTCCAGCCGCATTTGATGTTTTGATTGATGATTTGATGTTTCACTCAGCCCTTTCTACAAGCAAGCCTTGCAAGCTTGGGCTCCAGCAGAGCAAACTAAGACTCTCTGCTGCTCCTTAAAGCCAGGACAACGAAACAACAGCAAGTTTAGCCACGGATCTACACAATTTCAAGTGAGATTTGGATATTCGAGTTTCGCGCGAACACGTTGGCCGAAACATTTGATAAGAATCAAAACTTAAAGTGACCTTACCACATTCAGGATGCTGTGCTGACCAAATCCCATCAAGCTGGCAGGAGGCAACACGGCTGCCTTTTAAGCTGTAACCTGCGTTGCACTTGAAGGAAACCTGGGCCCCGTATTTAAAGTCATCTCCTTCCACAATACCATGAGCGGGAGCACCTGGAGTCCTACACATCACCACTGACAGTTCAGATATTTCAAAAAAATCCACTTTATTACAAAAACAGGACTGTGTTAAGATGATTCTTTATTCAGTACATTGAAAGACCAATTAAAATGGGCACAGGGGTCAAAATTACAAGACAGGTATATGCCAGGCTTTAGGAAGTTGTTTAGAGGGCAGTTCTACATATACTTACTTAGACACTGCTTTCCAAAACAGATCTAGAACCATCCAGCTCCACAGGATTACTCAGAAGTGTGAAGTGATCATGTGCCTAAGTGTTTTTAGCAGGCTCATTTACTCAAAATATTAGTACTTGAAGCAATTTCCATCCTAACAGGGGTTTTGACCAAGTTTGGTCATGAAATAATGTATATCCTAAAAAATCTTATACTGAAATTCCTGTAAATTCCATTTTTATACACTTTTTCAGATAACCTCACTGAAATATTGAAGTATAATTATTTGTGTAGATCAAACGTTATCATAATGACATGAAAAAGGAACCTTGATATTTACCACACTGTGGTATTTACCCTTCCCACAACGTTTGCTTCACTGGGAAAATACAGACAATGGTCTATTTAATTTCTGCAAGTAGTAAATATTAGATGAAACACTGCAAGCAAGATTTCTCTGAGAGCATCAAACCAGCCATACTACACACAGGTCCATCCACTACAGAACCCTGTCTTCAGTGGTGGTAAACAGTGGATTTGATGGAAGAAATGTTGAACACTCTCCTGGCATATTCTGGCAGCATTCAGCAATCTGCTGCTCAAGGACTACCTGAACTACAATGATATATTGGGTATAATAAGATAGATAAATGAATGCTAAAGACCATCCCTATTTTATAGGCTTTTAGAGTCTGACTTGTTCTGTTTTGCCTCATAGCTAGTTGCTTACAAGCCTATGGCCACATTTTGATCCTTACACTTCCAGAGGAAAAACTTTTCTAAGGCCTCAGCTCTGTAATCCTTGCCCAGAACACAGATGAATGCATCTCTTTATAAGGATTGTGGACAATCCAGTTATTCACATAAGGAAGAGATCACTGAGTAGCAGTCCTAAAGCAGCAGCATTTACCAGAACAAGGCTCCACAGAAATCTCCCTCAATTTACAGATGACTACAAACATCAAATAACGAGTCAGCAGAATGATTTCTGCACTAGGAAGCACAAGTCTTGGACAGAAAAATTGCCTAATATTTAAGTATTAGAGAAAGGCCCAGACTCACTGCTCCAAATCAAAACACATGCAGGGAGGGAGGCTCAACATTTCCTCTGGGCTGCCAGTGTTCTGCATCAGTGTCCTCTTTAGTGAAAGAATGGTAAAAATGCCACAAAATTCATTCCTAGACATTAACCATTGTCATGTGAAATGTGAAATAGAGGCACACAGACATACACATGCATATACAGGTGCATATGTGTATACAAAAAAAGCATATATGAAAATAAAAGGGAAATAGAGCATAAATTTTCCAGGTGTTTCCTCATCTTTGTATTCCCAGCCACTCCCTCAATATCTCTCTCTCTCTCTGAACAGCAATTCATTCCACTCCATTTAGATTTCTTTCAGTACAAAGTCACACTCAGCTTGTCAAAGGGGAAAAGATGGTTAGAAACACCTCTGCACCACTCAGACTTCTCCTTTTGATCATAAATACACTTTTTCAGTGCAGCTCTGCAGAACAAATGCTTTGGTGCTTTTGTGGCCTAGGTCCATCCTGGAAAAAAATGTCACTGAGCTATACTCACTCTTTTTTTTTCCCCAAAAAACTAGAATTATTTGTTCTTGGAACACAGGATCTCCCCTCATGGTCCATCCTGTTCTTTCAACTTTGCCACTGGAGGCAGAGACACTCATTTCATGGGTTTTTTGGATCATTTTGGAAGTTCCTTCTTTCTCTCTAGAAATTAACTGTGGTTTGGAATGTTGAGATGTCCCCTGTGTCTCAGTACCACAACTGAGCTCTCTGTTTTCAGCTATAGTCTGGAAGTCACCCACAGCTACTCTAGTACCTGCTTCTACTGATTTGGTTTGAGCTCTACAGCTTTTTTTCCCACTTCAGGTTGATTTCCCTTTTATCCCTTTCACCTAATACTTTTTAGGCAGCTCTTCTGTACCTTTTCCTTGTGAACACTTCAGGCAATGAAGTTTTGAGCAGTTATTGTGAAGGGAATCCCAGCCCCTGTGTGGTTCATCCAATTCTCTCCTATTTTGTGGAGAGCTTCCCATCAAGAGTGTGAATTTGGCTGGTTCTCACATCTTTCAGAATGTGCAGTAGATTCCATTGAATTTTAGGACAGCCTCCTTTTATTGAGATATTTTATTGAAGTCTTTCAGCCTTCTCTCCTGGTGTAAGACTACATCCAACTCCCTAATAGACATTTCTCAGAAATAATAATAGAAAAAAAAGACATTTAAAAAAAGAATTAGCTATGAAATCAGCAATACTCACCCCAAACTGTAAAGTTTGAGGCAGCTCTGTCAAAATGGAACCAAGAGTGTCAGGATTTCAGGTTGCAGTGTGCAGTCACTGCAGCTTCCTCTCTACAAACAGAAGACCAAAGCCACCAGCTGCCTAGAAAACTGACCAGGAGGCTGCAAAATTCTACTATGAGATGGTGATGGACAGCCAAATATGAAAGATAATCATTCAAGGTCTGCCAAAAAGTAAAGTCTGGGCAACCAGGAGACTCCATGAGGGTCAGGCTGATCCCATTCTTCCTGCCACAGTGTCATCACACCTCTAAAGGATCTGGTGAATTTATATCTAGAAAACTGGAGAGATTTCAGAGAAAGGTGAAACTAATGTTAGGGAAATGTAATCTTGAGAGTGACTTAGAGCTAAGAATGACCATCGTGGTGATGCACAAGCTAAAAACTCTATAAGAAAGACTCCTTGACAAAGGTTTGAAAGGCATAGTAGGGTGTAAGTGGAAATTAAATGAGTCTCATAATATGAAAACAAAACAAAACCAAAACTGGAACAGGCTTTGGAGAGAGCAGGGCAGCAGCAGCAAGCCCATTGTGAACTGAGATTATTTGATTTTAGTTTATTTTTTCCTATATTTTGCTATACAACATTCTTGCCTCTTACTTGCTGTCTTGGAAAAAGAGGAAACAATATTTCTGTCCCATATGGAACATTAAGATGGCTCCACATTTCACAGACAACTTTCCACAATCTGAGAAAAACTAGAGGAACAGTAAGTTCCTGAATTTTTAAGTCAAATGTTCCATTATTAATAATCACAGTGCAAATTCCTCTCCCTTTTAAATGATCTCTAAGAGACATTCCTCAGATCTCAATTATCTGCCATTTAGAAATAGTTTTCATGTTCATTTTATCTCCAGTGAGATAAATTAGATGATCTCTTGAGCTACACTTCTCTCTTTTCAATGTCCTTCAAATCTTGACTGATGGAATTATCATTTGCTTTTGTCCCAAGGTCCTTTCATTAAATGAACACCAATTTTTTTTTTCCTGCTGCCTTCCTTTCATCCATTTCCTCACTAAATAATATATCTCCCCCTCACCCCTATCATTCATTATCTCTAAATTCTGCACAACCTTTCAATAATACATTGCAGGCCTGAAATAAATCTCATTTCTCACTGCTGCTACTAATAAAAAGTTTACATTTTCATTTTTGTCTCCCCTGAAATATTAGGTGCCAGAGCTTCTAATTGTGTGGAGATTTGTTCTTCATTTGCTTACAGGATTTTTTAATACTGCTGAAGGAATTTATCTTTTGGCATATTCCCAAGTCAGAGTTTGGCTTTCAGGCTGACCCGTGCTAATGTTGAGAGCACATTTTGGCTATCAAGGAGTGGCTCTGGGGGACATTTTCCTAGGTCCTTGTAATATTGCTTTCACTTAATGTGTGCTGGTGTGCTCTGTGGAGGCCAGACACTGAGAATGGCCACAGGAGCTGCACTTGGTAACAAGTAGGGCAGCTTCTAGCATCCTAGCATACATCTGCAGGAAGGAGAGAGTTATGGACCTACCTTGGGGCCCTGGGTGCCACCATCCTGGCCCCATCAGTCTGACTACCAGAGAAAGCCTGAGAGACACTGAATCTGAAGAAATTGAAGTAACTCTCCTCAGAAAGAAGATTTTTTTGTCAGCAGAGAGCCTAAAGGACATTCTTTTCTCATTCATGATCCAGCAGGCTGCTAAAAGATACAGCAGCCCCTGAGCCCTGCTGCACAGAGAACCTCAGCATCAGGATTTTGGAGTCTCCTGGCTCCATGGTAGAGGCTGCCAAGTGCTCTGGAACCAAGAAACCTGAAAGTTCCAGAAATCACAGCTCCAAGAGGCTGTTGCTGGAGGGAGTATAACAGGCAGAGTATGTGGAAGTCATTTTTTGTTTCCCCTCGCGTTAAGAAATGGATATTTTTGAAAGAACCAACAGAAAATATCAATTTCTTTGAAAATTTACTGCTATGAAAGCCTTCTAACAGAAAAACCCTCATCCAGCTCTACCTACATGCACTTCATGCAGCAGATGCCAAGCCTGCTGAAGCCAACAGTGGTAAATCCCACCAGCTTTGGCTTTTGGCCTGCAAGTTTCTGATCTGATCAAATTCTTTTTCTTGGTTCAACTTTTGTTTTGAGGGCAAGTCTAACTACATGACTCCCTACTACAGCATTTTATAACAGCTCTTAAAGCTTATACTCTCTGTATTTTCAAGGGTTTTGATAAAATTACTGTCTGCCTGCATTTTACTGCTGGGGAAGCTACAGCATGAAGATGTGATTTACCTGAAGGCAAACAATGAGTTGAGTGGGAGTGTGCCTTGAACACAGAGCACAGGAGTTAAAGAGGGAAGCCCAAGGAGTAAAGAGTTTTTCTGAATTCAGACTTAGAGAATTTGTTGCCTTTCCTCATCATATCTCATTTCCTAACCTCAGCCCATGAGCTCTGTCAATCCATGTAAATCTCTGCACCCACAGGGTGAGGAGGCCCCAGGTTCTCACAGGCTTTGCTGGCAGAAAAGAAC